AGCACACCGACAACTGGAAACCACTCCCATAACGCGGAAATTCAACAAAGACTCTTTTTTTGAGTGCTGGTACGGCTACAGGTGACTGCCTGTTCTCACAACACAGAAAGTGTCGTTAAAGTTACATGGAAAATGGCAGGCTACGTACAGAACACTGAACAGGTTTTCCCTGTTAAAAAAAAAAAAAAAACAAAAACAATACAATACAGAAAACCAGTTGGTTCTCATTTCAGCATTTCAGATCCCTTTGACGTTACGCTACACGCCAGCCTTGTCAGTAATGCAGAATTCTGCAAAGGAAAGAATCAAAGATGTGCAAACAAAGCAGGAACCCGGGGACATGCTCCTATGTGCTGACACGCAGCTGCACCGAGAACAGAAGTACAGACTCAAAGCAGAGCTCCGGAGTCTAGCTAGCAGCTTCTGCTACCGAAAGCAGGGTCTATGGTTTGTGGTAGGTGCTTGCATAGTTAGTACGTGCATGCATTTGGGTACAGCGAGAGAACTGCCATGCAAAACCGCCGGTATTACTGAGAAAAAATGGTTGATCATGCTCAAGTTTCAGCTTTGGAAAGCAAACAACCCCGCAGCTAGACGGACGAGGGCACTTACAGTGGAATAAGTGTACTGTAATTAAGCTGCTAATTTTCTATCCTAAGCATCTTTTTTTTTTTAGCCATATTTGATAAGTTTGAAAGGGTTAACAATTTATACACCCAAAGTGAGACACAAGTTACAGAGAACTGCAGGCACCAAATTGTCTATCAAACGTGATTAATACAAATAAAAGGTGCCTCTTCAACACACGGCATTGAAAATGTGCTTATAATCGGTATACTACTAAACACTATCCAAAAGACACAGCCCAAAAAGGGTAAAAATAATTTCTGTAGGTGACTCCGGCAGGAACCTCGCCCTGGAATGAAGGCGCCGCTTTCCTGCGCCCCGAGGGCTGATCCCAGGACAGGAGCGAGTGTCGGGCAGGGATGTGACGAGCTACACACGGCCGAGGCAGCGAGTTCAACCCCCAGCTGATGGGAAACACAGCACAGAACCCTTCAGAGGGCTCGACCCAACCTTCCCTTGGAGCTCACGCGGCTGTTTGAGACAGGGACAGGGCTGGACACCCCCACACCCTTTCAAGGTGTTTCCCCTGGTGTGAGCCTGCCCTGCAAACCTCCAGGGCACCGGCTGAGGGGTCCCAGCCTCACCCACACCCCAGGCCATTCGGCACACGCCGTGGCTGTGCACAGCCCACCCGGGCAGCAGCCCTGCTCACCCTGCTCAGACGTGTGGCCACGAGAGCTCCAGCCCCACGTGCCCCAGCCAGGGCAGGCAGAGGTCCCTGGCCAGCGGTGACCTTTGGGGACAGCAGAACCCAACCCCTCCACAGGCACGAGTGCTTCTAAAGCCAAACCTGAATTTTGAGAAAAGAGGTGACCATGTACCAGGGGCTGCTTCAGAGCAGCTTCGAGCCTTCACAGCTCTGAGGAGCAGCACACAAGCCAAGTGGTGATGGCATCTGGGGCTTGGAAGATGCCTCCATTGAGCGTTCCCCAGTTCCATGCCACATCCCCACCTCTGGACAACACCATACAAATGGACAGGAACTCCTACGCATGAAAGGGCTAAGAAATGTCTGCTTTAAAGCAAGGAGAGAAGACTGATGATGTTTTTCCCCAAGTCACTTTAAATAGGGGCTGCAACAACCTACATTCTGTTTTAGCAAGATCTACATCACTGATGGAGCCACGGCTTTCACAGCGTCCAGGCTTGGCTCTACACTCACAACAAACGTTGTTTCCTGGGCCCACACCCTTCAAGCCTCTCCTGTGCAAGGAAGCGCATACAGTACTGGAGATTCGTGACACCACAACGCAGAGACGCAGCGTGGCAGCAAGCGGCTGCTTTCCCAAGGGCTTTGCTACAGAATCGATGCAGCCACCGAGCGGGGACTGCACCTTCCAGCTCCTGCACGGGCGAGCTTTGCACGTTTTGCCCACTGCGTGCCTTAGACTCAACAAGAACTACAGCGCACCCTCGTAAGTCAAAACATTTTGCTCGAGGACACCCTAAATCAAGCCAGAACACACTCCACGCGCTGGCAGCCCATCCCTGAAGAGCAGCATCTCATCCGCTCCCAGCTGCAGGCACTGTCCCCACGGCCTCTTCCGCAGAGCCAGGAGCCTGGGCACCAGAGCTGCTGCTGTCAGAGGGACAGGGCGAAATCCAGCCTGGCAGCAAACACAGACAGTGCTGGAGCTGGCAGCAATTTCCATCAGGAATTACGGGGAATACACAGAAAAAGTGTTAGATTAGATTAGATCATGGGATTGCAGAGGTTTGACTGCTTTTAGCATCGGCTACTGGAACACTTGGCACCAGGACCTCCCGTTCCCATTTTGTCCCAATGGGAGCTCTCATGACCATTCTCGTGCCCTAAATACAAACATATTGAACTGGTGTTCAGCTACAACACCAGTTTGGACATGGCTTCAAATTTCCTTCAGTCCAGGCATGCAATACGGGAGCAAAACCACCTCAAAAACCACACACTAGCTTCCAGTTTCAACTTCTTCAGTGAACAATGGCATGAAAAGAAAATGTCATTTGATGAAAATAACCTTTCACAAACATCCCACAGTAAAACGCACAGAAAAGTAGGTTCTGTCTATTAAAAGATACCAAGCCAAGTCAGAGCTAGCCACCAGAATTACATTCTTGCTAGAAGAGTCGTTACAAGAGAAGAGCCAATACAGTGCAAGACCTTAATACAGATAAAACCTTAAACAAATACTTTGACATCAACATTTCAGGGAGTAATTTAAGTTCTACAATGTGAAGTAAGACTTATCTGCTCTGCTGGATATAACAAAAAATAATCCAAGAATAATCCAAGTCATACATTTAAGAAGCAAGCAATGCAATCTTTGCTTCTTGTTCCTGCAATAAATGAGACTGAAACAATACCCAGGAGAAGAAATGCATCAAGAAGATGGTCGTGTTCAGGTTTAGAAACAGAGTCCAGGGCACAGAGTCCAGCATATTGTGAAAACATGCGGGCTACCGGCATTGCTTCTGGGCTGCACGAAGGTAGGAACTGCAGGACATCGGGACAGAGCAAGGGTCACGCTGCAGGTGGGCTCACCGCCACACACCGACCGGCGCTCTGCAGCACCCCCGGCTCAGCCCCACGCACGCTCCAAGGCGTCAGCCACCCCCGAAACACTCCTCTCCACGGCTTGCTGCAGATGTGCAGTGAGCAGAGCACAAAAAGCGATCACGGAGCAGCAACGCGCCCCGCAGAGCTGGGGAAAGGCTTCTTGCATGGTCGTCAGCGCATTAGCTCAAGAGAGGAGGTGGAACAGACCAGCTCAGAGTAACTAGTTGTAACTACTGCTTGAGTAACTACTGTGGTGGCAGAAAGGATGTACAAACAGGTCTGTCTGCAAGGGAAGCCTGGAGCAGCTCTGCCACACAGGACTGTGACCGGCAAAGACCTCCTTCAGAAGCCAAGCGAGCCCAGCACACCACCCAGCCGCTGTGCATCGTGACCTACAGGACAGACCGCTGCTGTACCTAAAGGATATGCAGTGCATCAATAAAAACTCATGAAATTAAAAAAAAAATTATACCACATGTCTATAAAAGGACTTGAGGAATCCACTCTTTAAGAGGAACCTTAAAGAACTTGAGGAATCTCCCCCGTAAGAAGGGCATGTAAACAAGGACGTCACCAGATGTAGTGTTTTAACCCTGATAGAGACGGTCACCCGAGCAAGAACCAGGACCGCACGCTGAGACGCGTGGCAGCCAGACCTGCCGGGACGGTGAGCAGCACACCAAGGGAGGAACGCAGCAGCGCTCTACGGAAGATGAAAGACTGCTCCGCGGTGTTTGGGTACAGCCTCTCCGACCCACACGAAGAGGCTCGCTCAAAGCGTGCTGGGGGAGGCAGAGGAGGCAGGACACCACTCGGCTCACACAAACATTGCTGCTATAAATAACCGGTGCTATATTCACACCACTACGATTAAGCATCTGAGCACATCAGGAAATGCTTCTCGGGGTTTGAACAGGGGTCCTAACAGCATCCCTGCCCTCCAGGTGCATGGACACAGCTCTCCTGCGGCACTGCCACCACCTCCCGCCTCGCGCTTCCACAGGTACCAGCTGGCAACCAGCTGCTGTCAGTGATTTCTTCTGTTGCTTAGTGTAACGGCTCAGAAGAGAAAAAGTAATTAAAGAGGAGAGGGTAGAGGTCGCCTTAGGTATGCACAGAGAAAAACTCTCTTCACAGACATAGCAACAAAAAATGCAGGTCACATTTCATGAAAAAAACCAACTTTTTGCTGTTGGAATGCAAAAATGAAATTATTCCACGGACACACGCACGCACAGACACACAGGTACCTTTCTGTCCATCCACTAATGCTAGTCCCTCCTATACTGGCTGAGTATATACCTGAGAAACAACATTAGTGTTGAAATATTGCCCTTTAGAAAGCTTGAAAAATGGAGGGGAGCAGGGCGAGAGGGTTGAGAGAGAGCATAAAGAAGCGGCAGTCTCTCCTTTCCAGCTTCCTTCGCGTCCTCCACAGCTCAGAACAAGGCCATACGCCAGCGTGGACACAGCCTGCTCAGAACAAGACCAAAGGAATATCAGTTCACAGCTCTACAAAGCACACGAGTGTCAGTACAACTGGGTTTCAGATTTCAAACCCTGAATCTGAAGAAGGTTGTTGCATTTTCTACAAAGAGACTCCTGTACAAGTGCTATGGGACAGCTGCGTTCATGTTCACAATGACTCCAGCTAGACTACTTGCATCAGTGCTGGCTGCCTGTGGCTATTTGGTTTGATGGCAGAATCAAAAGGCGCTTTAACAACTCGCAGTTAACTTCTCCTCAAAACATACATTAGGCACATGAACAAAAAAAAACAAGAGCTCAGAATAAATTAGCTTCTCAGCAGAAGAAAAGACACCTGGATTGCAGCATTTCACTGAGGTTCCAGAGAAGGCCGTACAGACACCTGCATGCTGGAAGGTAATTTTTTCAGCGGCTTGTCAGCAGACTGCTTGCCACTGGAAGGAGGAGACTGGACTCCGGGATCTACCTGGGAAGACTTGGACTTGCGACTGGATAGCAGAGAATGTTTGTTGGGTGTGGCATCTTTTGGGACAAGTTTTTCTTTTGCAGTAACGTTGGCATTGGTTTGAGAGGCTGGAGGGACAAAACCTCTCTCCGATTTGTCCTCCAGCACAGTTTTACTGCCTGACTTGGAACCGCCACTCGCTGTCTTTTTTGAGAGCATTGTTGTCTTTCCCAGGTCTGCTGACCTCCGGGTCTCCTTCTGCCTTAAGGCTGATTTAAAGAAAGACAATCCTTTCTCTTCCGACTTGCTGTCCCTCTTCAAACCAGAACGCACGCCAACGTTGGGAGACCGCAGGTTGGCCATAGAGGAACTCCGCACGTGCTTGCTGTCTACTGCCCTGCTGTCACTCCTGGAGTGGCTTATCCGCGGGGAGCTCGTTCTTGAACTGCTGGTAACGCTCGTTTTATCCGACCCCAGGCTTATCTTAGAGCCCTCCCTGCTGAGGCTTCGCTCTGAAGTCCGGCTCCTCCCAGCAGAAGAGCCCTTAGTCAATGAGCCTGAGGGGGTTTTCTTGGCAGCTGTGGAGGATGGAGAAGAACCTGACTTCTGCTTCTGTTGAGCCGAGGGGACAGCCACCTCAAGGGGCTTCGTGCTGTGGTCCTTCCTCGTCTGAGCGGGAGCAGGAGACCCATGTCGCCCACTAGCCCTAGAGGAGTCTGCCTTATTTCTAGACCGGGAAACTTTCTGGGAACTCTTTAGTGGAGGAGGAGAAGAGTGAGAGACTTTGGTCTCTTGGGTAGGTAAGACTGTCCTTCCCTTCCTCAAACTTTTATCTGGCTCAGAAACTCCCCTGGAGCTGTGAGCCCTCTTAGGGGTGCCATCCACCCTCTCTGCAGCCAGCCCTGTCCCACTGGGAGCTTTCACCTCCTTGACCGGAGAGCTATCCACAGAATCACTCTGATCAACAAAGGCGATTTGATTGTTGTTATCGAAGGGGTCCAAAGCCGGGTGATTCCTGTCTGGCTGCACAGAGCTTTTCCCACACCCGTCTGACAGGTCTGAGCTAGATTCCCTCACAGACTCTTCCCGGAATGCCCCTTCCATGACAGCCAAGGGCGCCCGGCGAGCCGTCCGCTGCTCTCGCCGGCTGCCGTCACAGGGCTCCAAGTAGCTGCTCGAGAGGTTCCTCAGGCTGCCGAAGCAAGAGGTGGTGACTTTATCATCGGCAGCCTCCCCGATCTTCTCCAGGGTGGAAGCAGAGGTATGCACAGGGGAATCCCCAGAGAAGCGGGATGGAGAGTTGGAGCGCAACTGCAGCTTTGCCGAGAGCGACCACGAGGGCCTGACACCGTTTTCACTCACTGCCAGCGGGCTGGTGACAGAAGATCTAGATGACAAGCTCTGACGCTGGACACTCCGTACGAAGGGACGAGTTGAAAATCCTCCTGCAGAGAACGAAAGTGACACCCTCAGTGGGAAAGCCAAGCCCAGGGTCAGTTCATCCCACCCATCCACAGACGCTATTTCCCTAAGAGTCAGACAGCCCACCTACACCCCACTGTATGCTTATCCCTTCACGCCTGCTGCAGGCACAGCTTCTTGCATAAAAGCTGAGCAAGGAATTCAACAACTGTGATTTGTTAGCAGTCACCCAGAAGTAACACTCTGAAGCTCATATCTGAAAATCCAGATTTTCCTCTCACCCCTGAGCAGCAGGAGACCAAACACAGGTTTTGCACCTCAGAAGTCCTTGAAACTAGCAATGAGTTCACCAGCTATGAATTTGCTCCCAGAAATACATTTTTCTTTATGAAAGAATATTTTCCCATACCATTCTGTAAAAGGCAAAGTAGGGACTACCATGGCCAGAGACGACAGTTACCGCAACACCGCTGCAGGGACATCTCTATACCCACTTCAGAACGCTCAGACTGACCCCTGAAGCCCCACTTTTTCAAAAGCTATAAGGCAGTAGGTGGAGGAGCCAGGCAAAGCCAGGAGCTGAACAGTTATTTGCGCACACAAGTGAATTTGAGTATCTTCTCACCTCTCTGGAAGCAGTCACCTACAGCCCAGCAGCAGACAATTAGTACCCGTGCTAACCTCTAGCACTATGTCAGCCCTCCTGCAAAGGTGCTGTACTGAAACCCAGAAAAACACAAATACAAAAAGTTCTTGGTTGAGAAGTTTTGTTGACAGTATTTCCTTTCTTTGAAAGGATCCTTAAGGTTCTTGCCCTGCTCTTCTCCATCCTTTCATACCAGAGAAAAGCCCACCTGTGCCAGAACCCATCTGCTCCTACCGACACAGTGCCTGCCTCCCCCAGCTGCCAAAGCTGTCCTTTTGCAGCTATTTTAGTAGGCATCTTTAACCAGAAAGACCAGCATCCCCCCGGCACTGCAGTGTTGATACACACCATCATCTTCACTCCTTTCCCCAGTCAGTTCCACCGATTCCGAGAGCGAAGCCAGAGACGTGCGCCGCGACGACGCTGCCGAAGCAATGCTGGGCTGCTTGCTACCAGGGAGGCGGCTGACCCAGTGCTCACAGAGCGAGGAGCTTGTGGAGCCTGCAAGGAATCACACACAGGCATCAGGCCAGGAGCGTGCAGCTGCAGAACACGGGAAGCCTTGGAAGGCCACCGAGAGTCAGGTACGTACTGCACCGCACTGGCTTCGACAGACACCTGGAGCTGGCCCACACGGCCACAGCATCCAGATACCACCCAGAGAATAAGTCTCTGCCCTCATGAAATAGTTATGGTCACAAGTGACAGACAGAATTGCTCTCGTCCCAGTAGCTGTGAATCAAAAGAATCAGTGCAACAGGGGCAAAGGGCAGTCCTCGAGCTGCCACAAAAATGCAGGGCAAGCTACAACCACCCCTTGACAATGCCAGCAGGGCTTACCTGCCACAGAGCTGTTAGCAGACCACGACGGGATTGCTGTGCGTCTCTGGTAGAAAAGGATATAAGCTGTCTGCTTGCAGACTTCATTTTCAGAAAGCTGCTGAACATCGCTGTCATCAAAGCAGTACCACTGTCCGTCGACCGAGTTTTTGCAATATGCTGAGAGAAAACACGTTACCATTAGACTTTCCTCACTCCCACTACTGTCAGGTTTGCTGCATGATAAACAGGATTTCATCCGCTATGAGGGACTAAGAGGAGAATGAAAGGAAGAGATTTATTCACACACCACATCCTCTTCCAGTCTGACTGGCAAGATGGGGGCCTGAGACCACCAGAATACAACCACCAGCCCACAGTTCAGGATATTCTTTGCCCGACATTACTGCTCAGAACAGAACACCATGTGGGGCGGCTCCACTCGCTTCATGTTCTGTCACTCGTGGCAGTCTGCCTCCCCCAGTGAATCTCCTTCTGCTTGAGCCCACCCAGGACAACACAGCCCAGAGACCTACATCAGAGGGCAAAACCAGACACACACGTTTTCTGGGCTGTTGTGTGAAGTCATACAGATCTCAGGAACCACCAAGCAACTGTGGCTATCTGTCTGCCCTGGGAGCTGCTGGAACAAGCAAAGAGGAGTTCTAGACTGGCTGTGCACACAGGCAATGTGCAAACACCTCCTGTGTCTAACTTGCAACTACAGAAGTTCTGCATTGTGTCCAGGAGCATTTTTTGCAACATGAAAGGCCAGTTACATTGCTCTGAAGGAAAATAAACAATAGCCAAGAAAGGAATGTACAGTAGGACATTTGGGGTCAACAGGCATTGTTCCATTCCTTAAAGTCATAAAATTTACCCCTGGTATTACACAGCCAGCCCTTGTTAGCTGGGTTAGGTCCTTTTGTCAAGAAAGACAAAGTAGTTATGGACACTCAATAGAAAAATATAACAGTCTTCTTTCTGCAAGGATCCAACCTACATAATACTGCGGGATACTCACCTGTATAGTGTCCCCCTTGCATGGTGCCGTGATGATTGCAGACAGCGTACAGGTCATAGATGTAGTCCTCGGGATCCCTCCCGAGACCGTAGGGTCGCCTCCAGGGTGACCAGTGGGATGGCAGACTCCAGCTGCTCTGACTGCGTTTAACAACATGAGGAGTCATGTCCAAGCCACTCAGGGGGAATTTAACCATGTTCTGAAGTTTCATCCTTCGGTCTCCTTCCTGCATAAACAGCGAGGAGCATGAGCTGCAGTGGCTGCACACTTGGGGAAGACAAAAGCCCAGGAGAGGGCTGCACAGGGCAGACAGCTGCTCCTGGAGAGGTGGCCTAGCCAGGTCGCACTCTGAGCAGCAGCTCTCCAGCACCGCTGCAGACACCCTCACCTGTCTAAACCTTTTGAGATGTATGATGAGAACATCAGGCAAGGTCCAGAGGCTCAGTGTGATGCTACCCTGCTGCAGCTGCTTGCAGTGTGGGCATCGCCATGCGTCATCTGGGGCAAGCTACAAGGAAGAGGCACGAGTGGGTGTTAGTTTCCCAATTCCAAGGTGGCTTTCACTACCCCACTGTTCCTCCGCTGCCCTGGGTGCAGCGCAGACCCTGACTCTGCACCCCATCTACCTCCAGCATTTATCATGCTCATGGGAAATGCAGCATGTTCCCAGTGATGCTTGTCGCTATTTTGAAAAGCAAAGAGACACATGCGCCTCATGGAGGAGGCACTTTCCACTGCAAGACAAAATTCAGCTGGTGCTGCTGTGCAGAGAAGCTATTTCCACCTTACAAACCCCCATCCCTTTGAAGTGGGGGAGAAGAAAAAACAAAGGCAAAAAGCAGGCAGGCTTGGCAGCCTGAGTAAAAGTATTCTCACAAGAGAACTGGCAGCAAAGGCAGAACTGGAACAGGAAGACAACTGGCGTACTTCAGATTTCATCTCTGACACCTCGCTGCCCTCTGAGAGCCCTCTTCCTTCTAATGCCCCAATGGTACAGAGCTACAAACTGCTGAGATTTTCACTGTCCATGAAGGAGAATGTGTCTTTTCAAAGACAGGAACACAACATGCACTGCCCTCCACTGCCCAGTGCTCAGAAAACTCACCAGCTCTGAAAGAAGTGACACGAGAGGCTCCAAAACTATTACAGCTCACTCATGGGTCTGCAGACCATCCCTTTTTACAGCAGATTAGAGACCTCTGGCAAAGAAATGGAGATTGCCTGTGTGTTCCAGGCAAGGGCCAGACTGTGGCACACCATCTCTGCTGCCACTTCAGCCTCCTCACAGCATGAGCTGAACTAGAGAAGGAGAGCGGCCATGCTTCTGAAGAACTGAGCTTGGTGGTCACTGTGCTGCCGTTCAGGGAGTCCTGCTCAGTGGGGGCTGCCTTGAGCCCACCCCAGCCCTGCTCAGGCTTGGAAACACACAACTGCTCCAAGACAGAGCAGCCAGTTCCCATGAAGGAGCCACACTGTTCTAGCTCTTTATAATGTAGGCCAGAAAAAGACATTGGTATTTCACAGGGAGGAAACTGCAGAACAGAGGAGTACGTTCTCATATCAACACTTAGGGGGCAAAAAGCCCAAAAACAGTACCTCCCACAACTTCCTCCTCCTCACTGCAGAGAGACTCTGTCAGCAGGACTGGTAACTAGCGTTGTGTTACAAATCTATTCTCCTGTCTCAACAAATCCAATTTTGCAGAACACAGCTACTCAGCTGAGTATGGGAGTTCATGCAGCGTGCGGACCAGCCAGACCTCCCGATCTTGGCTGCTGTACAGTATGGTCCCTACCTGTTCCTCTTTGGTGTACAGTTGGAAACACTGAGATAAAGTGCAGGTCTGAGGTTGATGATGAAGCTCTTTCTGCTGGCGGACACTTTCGGAGTCTGGAATATACTCCTCTTCTGTATTCACAAACAAGCTACAAGGGAGAAAACACATTTATCAGGACAGCCTCCTGCTCCCCACGCAGCCATGGAGCTGTTCTGAAGGTCCCATCTGCAGCTCTTTTCTGGATTTGTCCCACCACAAAGTGAGCAAGAGCTGACCGGCAAGAGATCCCACCAGGGCAGCCCAACTGAACACAGGGGTGAACAGCTTCAGTGGGCACGCACTCCCATTCATCTCAGATAAAAAAGCTACTCACTGCCCACAAACTTTTTCACACGAATACAATTTGTGGGGGAAAGAGCCACAGGCGAGATGCCTGCTTCGTAATGCAAAACCCTGGCTACAGAGAAAAGGACTCCAACTGGGAGCAAGTCTCCGGACACCCAGCCCCTGTCTGTCCCCGAGGACAGGGGCCAGAGCATGGGCTGGAGCATGAGGGTCTGTCTGCTGAAGGGCACACAACCCACACAGAGCCAAGCTGGCCACAAGCATGGCTCTCAAGGCAAACACATTTGAAGGCTTTCTACTTGCTACTTACAAATCTTTAGTTTCTTTGTCCCATTCCACCACTAGTTTCACATGAGCAGTTCCCCCCTGTCCACATGATTTCAATGCCCTGGAGAGAGGAGCAGACAGAAGTTAGAACACCTTTCAACATGAAGCCCACGTTATCTTCCACATGCATGTAGCTTCTCTCCACCAGCCCTTCATCCTTCCCCCACTCCCAGACAGCTCAAGTTTGGAGGAATTCATACAGCAAAGAAGATGGCAAAGCTGGCAAACTGCCTCCACCCAAGTACATTAGTTCTGTAAATAAACGCACGCTTATTTACGGAGCAGGCATCCACAAAACCTTCTAAAGAATAATAGTCACTGGAAAAAAAAAATAGAGGGAGCAATGCTTTCATTCTCTTCAGTTCTGAGGATGACAGACTTCAGATGGTGTGACACACAACTGAGCAATCCTCACCCAGCTTCTCAAGGACATGCAGTTGTTTCCCGGCTCCCCAGCCCTGTGAAGCCCATTCCATACACCCACACCAAGACTGTCCCTTTCTGCGTGGCCACACACAGAGCTCCCCGCTGAGAAACCTCTCTCCACTCCTGGGAGCGAGGGCCAGCTCACCTTTCCACGGTTGGATGGCAGAGGGGCCGCTCCTCCTGAGGTAGCAAGTACGTTATGCCCACAACACTGACCACGCGCAAGCTGAACGGGCAAACCTGCGGAGAGAGCAGAAGCCATCTCAGCGACTCAAACTGTGTGCAGCTCTGCTCTCAGCACCAGCTGCCACGTACGTTATCCTAGAACGTGTGTTTTACATGAGAAAGCAAACGCACAAAGTCTCAAACATGCTTACGCCAAGCGGCCAACCGAGGGGCAAGGTACAGCAGCTGAGGCTTTGTACCCAGCAACCCCCATGGTGACCAGAGAAGATGTCCCCCTGCACCCCTCTGCCATCAGAGGGAGTTCTCACAGTCACTGAGCAAACGTTTCAGCTTTTCTTTTAGGCAAAGATGACCAGCCAGTGGATTTCCAGTGCAGACAGCAGCACTAATGTCTCACGTACTTCCTGGGGGCAAGGAAGGAAGCGAAGCGTGCAACTTCTTCACCTGATCAGCCTAATTTTACCTGCACCTTTCACAAACAGGCAAAAGCACCGAGGAGGTGGAATACCAAACTTTGACATAATTGCACAAGGAAATATTGGGAAGTCATCAGTGCAGTGTGGGCAGTGTGTATATCATTCCAAGTAACTGCTTCACCTTCAGTTCACATCACACAGAGCTGAAGTCTCAAACCAGACAAGCCTTTTGCCTCACCTGCATGCAGGCTGCAGGTCGCAGGAAATACTGCATCTTCTCCAGAATCTCCTTCTGCAGAATATCCCAAGCAATTGTTTTTTCCAAATGCAACACAAAGGGCAAGCCAAACCTGCAGGAAGGAGCAGCATTTGAGGGAGCAATGAAAAGATTATTCCGTTCAGCAATTGGATCCCCAGACTCTGACAGCAGCACCCTCCTCCCCACTCAGCACCTACGGAGCTCAGCATGCTTTGGATGAAACTCCCCAGAAACCAGGCATTTAAAAACTTGTCTCCAAAGTCTGCACTCCAATTAAACATGTCCACACGTCCCAGGATCCGGTCAGACATGCTTGCTGCTCTCTGAAACCAGACGGCTCTACAGAGAGGTGGTACATCCCCCCAGCTGGTCTGCATTCGCCACTTTCCAGTAACACTGGACTATTTGAAGTTTACCAGCATTAGGAATATTTTGCTGCATTCATTCACGTTTTTTGACCAACATGTTCTTTAGCACCGAATGCAAGCTGTCACTCCTTCACTTTGTGTTTTCACTGCACAGTGAGTACCACCCAGGTCAATTAAGGAAGCACCCAGAAGAGCAACGAACTGCCAGTCACCTTCTGCTCTGCTGCCCAGTGCACGCTCTGTTACACACCAGCAACACAATCTTGTCGCTTGCTGCTGGTTTAGTAGAGGACTGTTCCAGTTTTACAGACTTCACTGTTCCTTGAGAGTACGATATTGTTCGGGAGTGCTCAGTGCCACATTTCAAGTTATTCAGGTTATTGTTCACGTGTATTCCTGAAAAATTAGGAGAAAGGAAACATTTTGTTATGTCATTTGCCTTTAGTGCCCTGATGAAACTCTCCTTCAGCTGCAGAGGAGCAGGTCAGCATGGAATCAAGACCATTTTTATTACTTGTATGAAGGCTTCACCAAGCAATTATTTTTCATTGTGACTATTTCTTTACAGAAAGAAATTATATGCAAGTGCTCACCTATCTGATTTTCCACAGCAATTTGTAGAAGTACTCATAGCTTTGTCTGCCCGCAAGCAAAGCTAAAGTGACAGAAACCCTAGTTGTTACTTCCAATAATAAAATTTGCCTTTGATTACGCTACCAAGGATGCAATTATTCCCTTTCACTGAGAGGGAGATGCAGAGAAGCTGAGGTTTTTCAGCTTTGAAAGAGAAAGTGTTTGTTCATTCCCGAGACTGTTTATTCATCACTGGCAATCTGATTTTAAATAACACAATTTCAGTGGCTTCATCTGGTCCCTGGCAGGTCTTTAAATTAAGCCTGACAAGAGATTTCACAGTAAGCCGGCTTGGCCTGCGAAGTCAGCCCCGGGAAGAGGAAGAAAGGAGTGTACATCGCTTCTTGATAACCTCCCGGCTGACAACGCCATTAGGTCTGCTGGAATGAGTCTGGACAAAGTCAGACTTGAAATCAATACACCAAAACATCAACTACTGTTGGGACTTTTATTCTCAAGTATATCCTTTTCCAAAGCAAGCCTCCCTCACCTAGTCACCTGCCGTGGGCATTACGCGGAGCTATCGACTTACCCCTCTGACTGAGGATACCCTCAGGCCTAAATATCTCCGGGGTCTCAAAGGCAAAGATGCAGTCGCTTTCATGAATGGTGTCCAGGTCATCAGTGTCGCAGAAAGAACGATGAAACCCATCGTAGTACATCTCTGTCAGCACGATCTAGAGTCAAAAGAAGCAAACCAGAACCCATTAAACTACCCATGCTTGGTCCCGCTGAGCTGCCCCGTTGCTCAACTGGGATGTTCCTGCTATGGGAGGACATTCCTCAAAGCATCCTAGCATGGGCCAGGAGCAAGAAGAGGGAAAAGGACTGCCATGAAGGAAAAGCTGGGGTAAAGGTGGCACGTGAAGCAGTTTTGGTAGGATCTGACAGCTTTCTTGAAGCTCTCCCTACAGAGGAATTCCTCACAGGTGCCCGATGGCTCCCTCGCTGCCAGCACACCCGAAGCACCGTGTGATCAGGCAGAAGGTCTGCACGCCCAACAGATGGCTGTCCCAACACCCCTGGGCTTCAAAAAGCCAACGCATAGGGAAAAGGATGATCCAGATTACCACTGCCCTGCTTCCCCCATTCAATCATGGGCCGTGAATTTCAATGTCTCCGTATCCAACACGGGATGAAAGCCGCCAATGCTCCTTCCCACTGCAGAGGAGGCACACGGGTGACGAGCCCAGCCCGTTACCTGCTCCGTGGGAATCTTGGTCTCCGAGGACACAGCCTCCCGCAGCCTGGCCACCGTCCCCGAGATGGGCACGGCCACCCCGATGCGCATGCAGTGCGAGCACTTCCCCCGGTACACCACGGTGACGTACAGCGGCCTGCAGAGAGCACAGGAGAGCTGCTGGGGCTGGGCGGGGGGCTGCAGGGCACGACCGAACAGAGTCCACCCAGCCCAGGCACATCCAGGCTGCACGAGAGCTACCAGGCCCCCAGGACAGCCGGGATCCACCTCGCACTGGAGTTACACTCAGCCACAGACAAGCGAATACATTTGATTTCCAAAGTCTCCTTTCTGACTGCATGGACCAGAGTTACTTGTTCCCACAAGCAGCAAGTCTTCTCAAAAAAAGCCCCACAAAATTAGAAATAAAACTCCCCATTACAGGGCAATCCTAACTTTCCACCAAGGATCCTGTAACACAGCTTAGGACAGTCTGATGCAGCACCTTAAGGCACTCGGAGAGAGCTGCTGCTGGGAACAGCTCCTCCAGGCTGTCTCAAAACTGAGCCCTGCCTCCCGCAGCAGCCAGAAGCACCACCCAGGGCAGAGAGCCCAGCAGGGACCCTCCCTGGAAAGCCCCCCCAGCCCGCACTCGGCAGTAGGGCAGGGACTCTGAACCAAATGTGACACTCATATTTAATATGTTCTTTCATTACTACTTTGTGCCATTGCTTCTTGAACCCATACAGATTTTCTGCATCCAAAACATCAGGCGGAGGACTTGCACAGCAAAACTACCCATTGCGTAAATAAGCAGCGCTCTATCTTCGCTCTGAACTTTTTATCTGGATTTTTTTCTCCCTGGAGCTTTCTTCTTTATTGGCAACAGCTGTCTTTCAAAAAAAAAGGAAAGCATTTTGCAGAAAAGCTTTTAACTTCGCTTTTTGAAATTGCAGTGATCAGTAAGACTGTTCTAAAGAAAGCAAAAAAGCGTTTCAGCCTTTCCCCCTTTTTAATTTTAAAATGCTATAAATTAAGTCAAAAGCAAAATATTTTCATTAACTGAATCAAAAACATTTTTTTCTCACCAAAATTAATTCTATAAGAAGTTAAGGAGGGGGGCGAAGGGCCATTCTGAAACAAGTAAAGGCTCGATTTTCCAATTTACCTGCAAAGCAAAAAAATTAAGCCCCATATGGTCCTATCCATCTTTTTTAAAGACTTACTGGAGAGATTTTGCTGACATCTCTTCCTTCTGCAGCAAATTAAACAACACTACATGCATGGAAAACAGCCAGCATTAAGTTCATCACAGTTACGTACCGTGTATGAGGCAGGGGAATCGGCAGAGAGATGCAGAGGAAAGGGTCAAAGGTGTTGCTCTGCTTCTGGCAATGAGGGCACGTCAGAGAGGACCTAGCACACGTATCAATAACATGACAGAGTTATACCTCACTCCAGCAAGAACGGGTAAATCAGCAAGTCACAAACAGCAGCCTTTGCAGGTCAGCTGGCCGCCCCTTTCTACTCTCCTTTCTCCACACTGAGCAGAGGCTGTACAGACATGCTGCTGTAAACGATGGCCTCCTGATCTCTAGATCCTTTCAGAGTAATTAGTCTCGGTTCATTACAAGGCATGCCAGGAAAAGACTTCACTCCAGTCACTGAACATGGCTTTTAATAAACATCACTGCAAAATTAATAATTCACCATCAGCAGCTCCAACATGGAAGGCTTGGAAGGATCTTCTCTCTGAAGAGAAGGGAAGTGATGGGCAAGAGATGGCAACAGTCAGCACTGCAGGCGTACAGACCTCTCCTACTCAGGAGGGGAAAACTCCCGACAATACACCTCCCACATTCAGCATTAACCTGCACCTTGCACTGGCTCTGTGTTTTATACCAGGCTTAAGGCTTCTCCTTTGCAAAGGAAGCCTTGGCAAATATTGGGGAGAAAGCCCAGCAATTAAAATTCTTATAGCAGCACAGATATAAGCCATCAAGGAGCACTGGAAATTAGGTTGTTTTCTTTTATTAGTTCTGAAATTAGAAAGCTCCCTTCCCAGGAAGTGTGGGAAACTCATGGGAACACCCTGAAGGGACAGTGAAAGATTCGGCTCAGAATTCCCAAGTGCCAGATAACAGGAACTCTGCAAGATGCCTGGGATCCATAACTCCCCAGCAGCCCCCAGGCACCCCCAGATCTTGCCCCAGGCTCTCGCCTCTGAGCGGACAGGGTAACCCTCACAGCACCGAGCTGTCCCGAGTCTCTGCTCCACTGTGCACTGGCTTGCCTTCAGGATGCATCAGGGCAGGTGCAGAAGTGGTACATACTGCAGATTCTCACAAAATAGACCAAACATGAAGTAGTGAAACTCTCTCCCTCCTCTGGAGCAAGATCTTAGTTCAGATTTTTCCAGAAACAGCTGGTAACACAACAGTCTCAACTGTACTGGGAGCTAGTGCCAGGGTAGCATTATACCGGGGTCACCAATACATGCAGTAACACCTCAAAATTTACAAAATATCATACCTGTACTGGGCTTGAAAGAGTTCCTGCACAAAAGTACTGCTGATTGGAAAGGCTGGTCCCTCGAGCAGCACATCATCCTCCAGTGGTGGCTAAAAGAGAAGAATAAAGCCTAGAAGCACACCCATGGTGGAGGTGCACCACAGGTGGCCCCAGTACTCCCAGTCAAATTTGTGCCCTCCTTGCCTAAAACCACCAGAAAAACATCACAACATTTTTAAATGAGTGTGCTCTGCTCACCCGGGTGGTTATGCAGGAATGTGAGGTAGCTGGGGCAGCCCAAGGAACAGCAGGATCTCACTCCAGATGATGTTTGGTAGTCCCCCCATAATGCCCCCCAGCTCTGGCAGGCGGTTTGTGGCCATTCACAAATGGGACGTGCCAGGGATTAGTGAAACGGCTGCTTACATTCACACAGCCAGAAACAAACAGTATTTGAACCCAAGCTTTTGTTCCATCTGAACTATTGGAGCTGGGAAGCCAACAGGGAGATTTAATTTAAACAGAAAGGCTGTATGCAAAGTTACAGCTACTCCCCCGTGTTGGCTGCCAGCAAAATCCCTTACCTTGAGCGGAGGCATGCCGCTGGAGTTCACTACGTTGTTCAGATCTTCGTGGACTCTGTCTAGGAGCCAAAGCAGGAACTCCTGCGCATCGTGCTGGGCATTCCCACGGTACTGCATAGCGTTCTTGGACACGATATTCTGCAGAGGGACAGAGAAGACATGCAGCGAAAGCCCAGGAACCGAGGCTTCCCCTCCCCGAGCCCTCACAACCAGAAAGGCGCAGTTAACAGCGCACCCAAAGCCAGAGACCACCTGCAGCCCTGGCTGCGGCACTGCCGTCCCACGCCAGCCGGGGAAAGGCCAGGACACACCGTCCCATGCTGGACCCTCTGCACAACTCGAGTGGGAGAATAAGCTGATGCCTTGCTGGGCAGAGAAACTGTCACCTGCTCTCAGAACAGAGCAGAGGGGTATAGAGGAACTCCGTCGTCATTTAAACAGAAATGTTTATAGGAAACTTGGGGCTCAATTCAGACGAGATGAACACCAAAACCATCACTCTGCAGGACCTTCGCACAAGGCAAGAGCAAGGCGAGCTCATGTCCATCCCCTGACAGTGACAGGCAGGATTTCCCATGCCAGCACAGAGCAAAGGGCGTTTTTAATCACACCTATCCATGTACTGCAAGGTCTGAAACTGTTCATTTCCTAAAATATATATGTTTAAACTGAAGCAAACAAATATTTAGTCTCCTAATCTCACCCCATCTAGCTCATGCCTGCTTTGGTGAGGTAACAGATTTCCAAAATCTAGACGCCGATGCTCAGTGCTAATAAAATCAGCACATCCCACCTGCAGATCCTTCTACAAACCGACCATCCCAATAACACGCAGGCAGAACAAACTTCCTTGGCATCAGACACCCTCTTAGGCATGTAAGCAGCACAGCCACCATGTCATTTTCTCCACTGGGAGAAAGGACTCGGACCGTCACAGGCGCGATGTGCACAACCTGCCCTGCTTTGGGTACACGCTAAGAGCCTGGGGAATGCATCCAATTCACTCTTGAATTTCCAGAAAAGCCATCCCAGAAGGACATCAGCACACCCAAGGGATTCGCTCAAACCTGTTTTTCTGCCAGACACAAATGGGAAGGGCTTGAAGCTCCGCTGCAACCGAAATCTGCTCTTTGCAGATTTAACCTTGCCCTGCAGCTCTTCACCTTTCATAACGCTGTTTGCACGGAGCCCTCCAGCCACACATGCCCCTTCCTCAGGACAATGTCTCCTCTTCCACCTTGAAAAGCCAAAAGGAGCCCGCAGCAGGGTTTGGAAGGGCATCTTCTCACCAACAACCAACACCAGGAAACACCTTCTCTGCTCCAGCTCTCTGACCCCAACACCACCCGAATGGCCGGCCAGCACTCATCCTGCGCAGCGGGGAACAGGGCACAGACTCTGGAGGACGGGAGCCAGGCACCAGGACCTGCATTCAGCAGGCACGCTCTCTGGAGTAACGTGCCATGGTGGGCTGGCCCCAGCAGCCGAGCCAGGGTTCCACTCCACCGATTTTAAGCACAAAGTCAATATCAGGCTTTTCTCTGCAAGAAACAGGCTTGTAGCAAAGCTCACGTCAGTCCCACTGCGATTCCCCAGCCTTCCTGTGCCACCCACCAGCAGGAAAAGCAACCCTCTTTGGGATGTGCTGTGCCTCCCTCCCTCAGTGCCCCTGCAGAGACAGAAGGTGCTTACACGGGGCTCGCGCTCGTTGGGGCAGGGTCCCCAGAAAGGGGCAGCAGCACCAGCAGATTCCAGACCATACCTGCAGGGCAAGAACCGCACGGGAAGGCTGCAGCAGACCAGCCGCCCCAAAAGGGGCCAGGCAGGCTGCACCCGCTCACAGTACCAGAGCTCCTCCATGTCTCTAATCAGACTTTACAACAGATTTGAGAAATGAGGTTGGGCTGCTTGCTTTATCCCTCTAGAAAATGGGGTCACCAGAAGGGGGTGGGTGATGAAAAAGATAGGAAAGGACTTATAAACATATACTCTCTATCCTCTATAATCTGTCCACCTGCCTCAAGGCAGCAAAATAAGGGAAAACAGAAATAATCTGCTCTCATTACATATGTGCAAGTCCTTCTGACAGCAGATTTACTGCCCCTGTCTGCACAGGGGCCAGCACCCTCCCACATGAAATATGTAAGCACAGTTTTAAACAAGTGAGCGGTCCACAGCGAATGCTCACCTCTGCACCACACCGGTGCGAGCCCTGCTCAGTGCTTGGGACATGCTGCAACCCAATTTATGGGGGAGAAAAATCTGAAGTAGTCTGTCAAGACTCAAAGATGAAAGGGTACCAAGCAGCCTTCTCTGCTCCTAGTTCCCATCAAGCAAAATAAGATCCACTGCCAGGAAAAAAAGTGACAAAACACGATCCAAAAAATTATCTTAAGCCTCTTCAGGTACCAGCCTGATACCTCTTGCCCTGCTGACAAATGATGGAAAGGGGCTTGGTGAGCACTTTGCCAGTGGATCCCATCCAGCCCCAGGACCTGTGCATGTCTCCGTGCTGTAGCAGGTCGCCAGCCATTCCCCATGGACTACAGGGGCTTCATTCTGCTCCCTGTCTTCCAGCTCAGGGGGCTGGGTACCCTGAGAACAACTGGTCTTACTACTAAAGACTGAGGCAGAGAAGGCACTAAGTGCCTCAGCCTTTTCGTCAGCCTTTGTCACTCTGTTTCCCCCCACATCTAATAAAGGAGGGAGATTCTCCTTAGCCCTCCTTTTGTTGTTAATGTATATATAGAAATATTTTTTGTCTTTTAGTGCAGTAGCCAGATTAAGTTCTACCTGGGCTTTGACCCTTCTAAATTTCTCCCAGCATAACCTCACAACATCCTTGTAGTCCTTCTACCAAAGGTCAGAAACTCTCACCCACAAGTCCTTCTCTGCTTGCGAACAACAGGTCCACAGACATCTTCCCCAGCTGTCTCCCCCACCAGCCGTGCCAGGAAGGTCTCTGCCACGCTCCAGGAACTGCCAAGGCTGCTGGCACGCTGCGACGAGAGCCGGCTGCCTCGTCTGGTCTGGTTTGTTTCAGTGAAGTTAGCCAGCAGGCGCTGCCACTGCACTTTAGGTCCTAGTCTAGACTGAGCTGAAGATAGAAGGGTCTTCGGCATGGCTAGGAGGAATGAACCTGGTATTTCAAGTAAAAAAGGGGTGTGGGGGGGTTCTGTATGGAAACAGACATAAGTAAGGACTTCAGGAAGCCAGGTTAGTGTTTCATATCGCCTCTCCCCCATTGTCACCAGCACATCCCTCCAGTGCAGACCCTTGCTGACTTTCACTGACACGCATTCCTGGTGATGGGTCGTCCAACAGCGAGCTGCACGAGCCCAGAACACCCGGCAGCAGGGAGAACCCCGGGGATTCGCAACAGCCACGCGTCCTGGTCTGTATCTGTGTCACTCCCCACCTCCACAGCATCTCCACAATAGCTGTTCTGGTTTCCTCCACGCTCCTGCAGCCTGAGTGGACCAAGGATAAAGAGCTGCCTGTGGAGACAGATCACAAGGTGCTGGAAGTGATTCAGGAAGCACTACAAAATATCAAATGCAATTCCCTCACGAGAGGCTCTGCTACAAAAACACTCCAGCAGTAGCAGCGTGTTCCCAGCGTTACTCACGCTTCCTGCCATCACTGCTACAAGTGGGTTTGTTATTATTTAAACTTCTGCATCTGCTGCTCTGTGAAATGCTGTGTGCCTTCCTCCCAATCCACTCGAGATCCCAGGGCAGCAAAGCAATCCGAGCCAGGCGCGGTGGAAAGGAGGAGCAACAGACACACAGCACGGAACAGTCAGTGCTAAGGGACACAATTCAATCTCAGCGAGAGATGAAGGTGCTGACTCAAATAAACAATTTAACAGTTTGAGAAAAATACTGGGAACTCCTAAAGTACAGCTCCTGCTCACTAGATAGCTCAGGAATCAAACGCAGCCCCACACATTTCCCTGTCTCCTCTCGCTCAGGCAGAGAGCAGCGGCCCTACAAACAAGCGGTGGGGTCCCGACAGCCCTGGGCGACAGATGGGGGCTGGCAACCTCTGGGCCAGCCAGGCTGGCAATTCCTGAACAGCTCCAGTAACGTTTGATGGGCAAGAAGTGAACAAGTATCTCATCAATGAGCATCATCCACCCTGACCCTCTTTGTACCTATTTTCGGAGGCTCCCCTTCCAGCTGGCCAGCTGCAAAGCTGCCGCCAGGGCAGCAGATCTCCTGCCCCTGCCCCGGAGCATGCTCTGGCCTCCTCTCAGCACAGGGCTGAGGTTCCTCAGCTCCATCTGGAACAGCGCGATCCCGGTGACATCCACAGCTCAGGCAGAATCCTCGGGTGAGATGAGGTCACAACGGCAACACCCCTCCCCAAGATACCTGCTCAGCCACCCGGGCTGCAGAAAGGTGTAAGTCAAAACAGAACTTCAAACTTTCTCTCCTCTTTCACTCCTGAAGTAGGAGAGGACACCACCTCGTTCTGCTGGTCCTGCTTACGCTGACCCCACTGCGGTAATGCAACAGCAGCTGCAGCTGGCTGCAGACACTGAGTTAAGAAGCAATTGGTTCAAAAAACACAAAAAGACACATTACGCCCACCACATTGACCAACCCCCATAGCCTCTAATCCTCTGCCCCTGATCAGCTCTGGTGTAAGTAGAGCTGGTGCATCTGAGCAGACCCCCCCATCACCGGAGACTGAAGCTCCCTCCCAACACCATGATTATACAGCTGAGCACCTCCAGCCCCTTCCCCAGCTCAGCTCAGCCCCTGACCTGGGCAGGAGAAAGAATTAAATCCTCCTTTCCCCTAGATGCGCGAGCACCAGCGCGCAGGCACCCTGCATGGACGTGGCACCATCAGAAGAGATAAGAGGGGGGAAATCGTAATTTCATATCGATCGCATACACTTATCTAACCCCCTAATGCAAGCACCCTATAACCAAACAAGTCCCTGTCCATCTATAAAGCAGATTTACGGCAAAGACGCATTATCAGTTTTATCAGCTCACTGAAAGTTTAATAATCATTCGTCTATTGCTCTAAATAGATGCAATAAATAAATCCGAACAGAGCCGAACTCCTGGCCTCTCCTTGGCTGCTGTTATTGTTCCAGATCACAAAGACAACTAAAGGGAA